TTAGATGTTGCATGTTTTATTGAAGATTAAAACAAACGCGGAAATGACTATTATTCCGAATGGATGTAGAATTCCCTATCTCGATAAAAAATGAGAAAAAAAGCGAAAAATCAGTACATTGTTATATCAATTATATATTGCGAATAACGGTTCGGGAGCGAGTTGCTAATTCATTAGCAAAAAAAACTATATGATATCGACTACAACAGCATATCCTACTTGTTTAATTTCTTTTTTTAACGAATTCTCTTTACAGAACTTTTAGAACAGAGGAACGTCGACTTTCGTTACAAAAACGTGATTATTAAAAAAAATACACTTTTAATTGCCATGAAATTCTTACTGCTCAAAAGATTGAGTGTTTCGCTGGTTTAGTTCCAACCGCATCATTGGCTCCCAAAAAGATTTGTTTCTATGAATATAAACAAAATTACAAAAAAAGATATTCATTCTGCGATGAATTCATAGTGTACAATATCGTGAGTACCACCAGGAGGTGAATTTATACTCTCGTATAGTTTCTCATGGTGTGAGGAGTTGTAAATAATATGTTTTATCATGGAACACCCCTATATAAAAACTGATCCTCAAAAAATCTTCAATTTTCCCTTTTTTTCCGAAATTGAATGAAAAATTCCTTTTTGAGATCCAATGTTGCTGTTGACGCCAAAGTTGGGAAAAACTATAGTATTTTAAACGGTCAGAATTTCATGAAAATTAAGCATGGATTTTCTTAATATCACGTAGTTGTGACGAAAATGATAGTTTTTTAGGTCTAAGCGTGTTGTGATGATGGTTACTAAGAAAAATCATATTCTCCGTACTGCTTTTCACAATTTCTCGAATTGATACCACGTACGCTCGAAAATTTAAAAATCATTGCGGAAAAATAATATCCGAACTATTCAGATGCGGTTTTTGTACTCGTGTGATTGGCCGCCTCTCCTTTGCCTCGGCTCGCCAAATTCCACACGAGTAGACCCCAGTAGAACCCCATCTCAACAGTCCAGAAATATACTATTTTTCGTGAAGGCCTTGTAAATACATCACAAACTGAGTTGTGAAACGTGAGTGCTGAAACCTCACGAGGTGACAAGGAATGCCCGATATATGCGGACAACTTCATGCGCACTGATCGGAGCACGAATCGCGGCAACGTCGAATTATAGGGCATAGGTACAGTCAGCCCAAAATCTTTTAGCTAGCGCGGGGTAACTAGCAGAAATGTAAAATCATAGAACGGTAAGAATTAAAGCGGGGAAATTTCGTATTGAACCGGAGGCCAGGGAAAATAGGAGGGCTGATGGGAAGAGGCGAGGGTTTAACACCCTCTAGTGACGTCGGGCCCAAAACAAGGACCCCACAGGGTGAATGGACAGAGTCGGAGGACAATTCGGCATTCGGGCCTTGACCTGCCAACCGTACACTCCTTTGACAGTCATTCTACGTAGCGTATTTCGTACACTATTGTCGCGTGATTTCAGAGCTTGTATTGTATTGAATCGATTTATTCCAACTAAATATAAAAAATCCAAATAAAAGTACTTACTACAGAATGAGCCACGAAAATTACCAATGCCAAATTTTTGGTATTCATTAAGAAGTTCAGGCTTTTTATTTTAATAAAATTATAGTCTCGAAATATGTTGAAAATGCTGCTTTAATGTTATTAATTATTATGTACTTCGCGCATTTCAAGATAATGAAGTAATCAGTATCGATAATAATTAGAACACCGTTATTTTGCATGGTTCGAATGTGTGCGTTTCCGACGTCTGGTAACGTTGCGCGGGCTTGGGTACAGTTAGCCCAAAATCGTTTCATAAACGCGGAGTAACTCAAAGAAAGCTCAAGTGACAGAGTTGTCGAAATATGAGTACTCGCACTAGGCAGGCGTGAAGCTAAGTCAAAAATCTGAATCATAAGAAATGTATAGTCAATGAATTGGGGTTTTTGCAGTGAAAACAGAAAAGTTTGTCTGTGGAAAAGAACAGTATTTATCAAAAAAAACTCTCCGTTCTATCAAGTGTATTAAATAATAGATGAAACAATATGTATCTGCGTAAGAAAAACGTTGCACGATATTTACATAGTTCAACTTTTTGGAAGATTAACAATTTCTTGAATTCATGAAAAGTATGAATATTGATTAGATGATTCTGATGATTTTCTCCGTACAATAAAATTATAGTATCGAAATACGGTAACAATTAACTTTTACTGCTACTACTGATTACCTACTTAGCAAATGCCATGGTACTGAACTCATCAATAATAATCAGAACACGATTCAGTGTGAAATATTTGACTATTGATCTCCTATAAACATTTCATGATAGTATGTCAATTTTCGGAATGAAAAAAAATTGAAAAAAATTGAAAAAACATTGAATTCAGAATTGAATTCAGAATGCTAGGTTGTTCGAGTTTAGGATTGGTTAGTCATACCAGAACTAGAATCGTTCATACTGGGCTAATGAAATTTAGCACGACCGAAATGCCCGGAAAAGAACGAACTAAACTATAGTGTAAGGATGTTTAACCGCTCACGTGAGCAGTTACGATATAAATAATTTGTTCTTTTACATTACAAGACTCATTGCATACTTTTCGGTTCAAATTATGAAGAAAGATAAAAAACGTTTATGAACTTTAACGTATGACTGACTACTGTGGTAACCCTCGAGTTTTGATCGTGCAACACCGCATTTAGCGAGGTGCTCCGCCATCATTGTTTCATCGTCATCTACCTTGCTGACATTGCTCAACGTTGTCAATATTTTAGAATCGTAATGGTGGGCACTCGTTTGTCTTCAGATCTTGTCAAAAATCAATCATAAATTTGTTGCGTATTGTATCGGGTACCCTAATTTTTCTTGTCGGTGAAATATTCCCCATATTGTCAAGAAAGCGAGTGGATTTTTTTTCAAGATTTGAGTGCGTATCTTAGTGCCCTTTGCAATCAATGCTAATGCGGTTACGTCTCCCCATAAGACTGTGTTACAGAGAGGTGTTTTCAATAATGATTATTTCACTAAAATGAATGGATCGGAGGGTCGAACATGTGACTAGCGTATGGTTCATGATCTCAGCTATTAAATTAAAAAATATATACTGTATTGAATTTTGTCGGGATCGGTTGAAAACCCTAAAGCTATAGTTCATTTTTTTTCTGAGGATTTCGGTTATCCCGGGGTTTCAGTTGTCAAGTAAAAATCACCCTAGCATTCGTATGACCTGTCTGTTTAATTAATCGAACAAAGTAACACTCTTAAGTTTTAAGTATTTATACAATTCTCAGTTCTTGACTTATAGATTTGACATTATGTTTCATCCTAATAGTTTCCAAAACTGACATAACATCATAGAAAATTAATGAGACCTCCATCACTAAACATGCCTTATTCAATGGTGTTCTAATTATTATGAATACTGATGGTTTAATTAACTGTGAATGCGCGAACTACATAATAGATAATGGCATATATTTCCAACATATTTCGACAATCTAATATTATTAAAATCAAAAATCAGCACACCTTCACAGTTATACCAAGAAATTTTATGAATCTAATGGTAACTCGTGCACAACAGATTCGTACTGGTTTCTCTATTAGTCAATTCACTTGATGGAGTAAAAAGTTTTTAAAATATTCCTTATTTCCCACAAACACATTTTACCACTCACGACTGCTAAATTCCAAATTCATTGGCTACGGATTTCATGCTATTCAAATTTTGGATTAGCGCTATGTCAAAAATCGAAGTTTTGGGAGGCTCCCAAATGTTCTTCTCACGGATTTTGGTTTAGGTTTTATGAACCCGTTTTATGTTTTGATGTCAGATCGTCAGCACTCTCGGAATCGTGTATACCGTTTTAGCCTTTTTTTTTTCATGGCTGACTTCGCCACTGGATAGCTCGGCACGTGACAATGATTTACGTCTACAAAAAGATTGGGTGTTATCTTGAAATGCCAATAAATATGTAATAAGAATTTCGATGTTGTCGTTTTTTTCATTTTCCCATAATGGATTCCAAAATATAGAGTCAAAAACCGGCTGCCACATAGGATGATCCCCTTAATTTGAGAAAATTTCTTAAATTTCTTAATTTGAGAAAAATTTATGTGAAAAATTTTTCGTGCTCCATAAAGTCTCTTAATTATTCAGAAATTATGTCTTTAGAAGAAAAAAATCAGTATCTTTGATATTTCCGCTATTAATTGAGATAAAAATCACCGTCTGCGCTCATGTTTCTTCGTTTGGGCTACACTTTTCGATGAAAAGTAGAGAAATTTCTTTTTTAATTTATAGATAGGTGTTGTGCTGGTGATTGGTGAAATGGCCCAAATATTCACTTATTTTGATAACTGAGTCCAGGACACTAGATTACTAGACATTAGATGCTTTTTTACTAGCAATTAATTTGACTGCGAAAAAAAATCTTTATTTTCAAAACATCTTTCAAAACAATTTGCTCCCTGATGAGCGAGGGGAAAGTGAATACTTCCTGCCCTCGGGTAGAAGACAACAAAGTCGGAATGTGAGGACTTTACTTTTACTGCTCTTGGCAGTAACTTTCCACCTTAAGGCAGAAAGTATTCACTGCCCTCTCGCTCTTCAGACAGCAAAACACGAATTTCACTTTGCAGACATTTTGAAAGATAGCATGTGCACCTCGGGCGGTAAAACATGACTTTCCACCCTTGATCTACAATATACTATTTTTTATTTCCAAGAAAATGAGATAATTGCGCAATGAAATTTGGGTAGATGAACTATCGAATGCAAAAAATTTGCTCAATAACGATTAAACTTATGTTAAGACCTCGGAAGTAATTTTCTACTGAGAATTTGCTAGCATCGCAATATAATTTTAAATAGTTAAATGGGTGTCGATATGCATAATAAATTCACGTTCGGTAGAAAATCAAATATCTTATCACTGATTCTTTGACCCATGTTAAATAGTGTGATGATCTATCACTGTGTAAACATACTCTATCACTGTATAGACTAGGATATTGATATCTTGTAGCTCGTGGTACAATATTTTTTGCACTTTGGAAGATATTCCGCAGCATGTCTGAAACATCAACGTCACAGTCTCCACTGAAATTTACGCCTGTAACACAAATAAAGCAAATGACTATTAAGATCTATTTAACTTATTTCATTCGAGAGAGGTTTCTTTGTTTTCTCCAAAAATCTCCCTATACTCACTTTATAATGAAAATTAATATATAAGTCCGAAGTGTAATTGGTTTACAGAAATTTGCATTATTCCCGAGAAGAAAGACTTGTTAAATTAACTGCTGAAGTTCTACAAGCTTCTATTTGTTTGGTTATCACTCGTCAGAGTACGGCAAGCAAAGATTCGTGCGATAAACTATGCGCCCCGTATATACATATGTATATATATGTGTGGTGCTGATAAACACATGCATATAATGGGCTAGTATCAGAAGATCCTTTCCTTTCCTTTCCTCTACTCCTGTAATAGTCTCTCTCTATTCTCTATCACTATATTTATCCTATCTCCTATCTCCTATTCCTATTAAAAAAAGCAGAGCACTGTCATGGCTCCCACCACAAGTGTCATGGCGCAATGCTCATGGGGCACTGTGCATTTATTCAGGGTGAATCCACACGAGCAGTTCCATGAAAATTGACATGGAGAATTGCATCAGAGATTATAGCAGAGATTATAGGGGAGATTGCTAACGCCAATGGCGAAGCTTCAACCGCGAAATTTCCTAGCGGAACTGGCGGAACTAATTTTGCGGGTGTACCTGTGAATCAAACAGGT